TTCTTGAGACCTGCAGAACCTAAAAGCACATTAATGCTAGGCAACTGAGTGAGGAAGGGCCTTCGCTTCCCGCCTGCCGTCTCCTGTGGATACTGCCCCCAATTCAGTCTCCTGGCAAGCTGGTCTGCAGAGAGGTAGTGTGCCTGGTAGCCAGCTCAACCCCACAAAGCTCTGTCTTCACCAGTGCCCTGCACTGATTACCGGCTTACCTTGGGTGGCCAGCACAGCAAGGCTGTACATGGTGACCATCTGTCCTGACTCTCCCGTTTTGGGAAGTCTGGGTTCCTGCTCTCCACAATGCTTTGTGTCAGCAAGTGCTGTGAGGAGAGGGGGTGGGTGTTAGGAAAAAAGCACACGGGGGGGGGGGGGGGGAAGGGGGACCTTAGTGGATTCATGGCAGCAAGGGACAAACATGGCAGGTAGACGGGGCTTAAATGAGACGTTTTATTAGAAAGAAAAGGAAGGGGGAAGGAAAGAGAAAGGAGGTAGAGACACAGACAGAGGACAGAAGAGAAGAGGGAGACAGGAAAAGTCCTGTCTGCCCCAGGGGAACAGTGGGAAAGAAAGCAGAATTCTGCGGGGTTGGGGGAGTCTCTTAAAGGGGTCCTTTGCACCTGTTTGCAGACTACATAGCCATGGAAGTCTGGGCTGACCAGGGTACTGTCTGAGTGCATCCTGCCAGGTGACAAGAAGCCAGGTGGTGGCCTTTAATCCCAGATTTTGGGAGGAAGGCAGAGGCAGGTGGATCTCTGAGCTAAAGACCAGCCTTGTCTGCAGATCTAGTTCCAGGACAGCCAGGGCTACACAGAGAAATCCTCGAAAAGCAAAAGAAAAAAAAAAAAAGAATAAAAACCAAACCAAAACAAAGCAAAGCAACATCAGTCCTTCATTCACCTGCCCTACAAGGATAGCCTCTATGATTCTTTGTGGCATTCATCACGGCTGCGGTATTTTGTTTGCCAACATGGTTCTATCAATTCATCCCCGCACACACATTCATTCAACCTAGACACCATTCAGGTGCTTGGATGCAGCCCAGGTGAGCCTATCTCCTCAGAACTTAGCTCTAGGCAGGAGTCTCACAGTGAGTAACAGAACAAAATCAGGGATCCACATAGAATGTTGTGAACATAAAATAAAGCAGAGTAACAGCAAGTCCTGTGGGTGGGCTTGAACTTGGCTTCAATTCTGTGGAAACCCAATTAAGGGGCCCAATTAAGGAGAGCCCCTTTCCTGGTTAACTTTGTCAACTTGATACAATGTAGAGTACCCAAGAAAGAATCTCAATCAAGGACTGCCTGTGGACCTATCTGTAATTACTGATTCTCTTCATTGTTAATTATCATGGGAGGGCCTGGCCTACTGTGGGCAGCACCGTCCCTAGGCAGTAGTCCTGTTGAGGGGGTGTAAGCTAAATGAACAAAGAAATCAGAGGGGAAAGAAGTAAAAACTCAGAAAAGGTGGAAACCAGTTCACTGAAGCAGGAATCAAGTAGTAAAGCAGAAAAAGATTAAAAAGGGCTGACTATTAGATTCATTGACTTACTTAGGTATTTACGTAAGGCACTGCTCGTACTACTCGCCAAGCATGACTTCACTCGATACCTGGAACACAATGGCCCGGAGAAACAGCTGAAACAATCCCTCAGCCACCGACTGACTGCCACATAGGCTTCTGTGAAATCTTGCTTGCAGTTGGCCCCACCTTGCGTTAGAGTGCAAACTGGACGGGACACCAAGTCCTTCCAGGAGCCGTCCTAGCTTGGCCACCAGTGACATCTCTCTTTCACTTTTATTGGCACCGCAGTGTTTGTGTTAGAAAGATTCCTGCAACAATAGCGAAAAGCTGGCAGACTGCCAAGTGGTCTCTGAGCTGGTCTCTTCAAAGGTTCCTAGGACCATTTCTTCCTTTGATCCCCTCCCATTTCATTTCATTTTCTTGGCCCAGACAGAAAATATCCCCAAATGGATGCTACTGTTGGATAGAAATAGAAAAACCATGTCACTGTCCAGAGAATGTCCCTGGTTGACGGACTTGTTTTTGTTTTTTTAATTGGTGTTTGACCTGCATGTGTGTCTGTGTGAGGGTGTCAGACAGTTGTTAGCTGCCATGTGGATGCTGGGAATTGAACCTGGGTCCTCTGGAAGAGCAGTCAATGCTCTTAACCACTGAGCCATCTCTCCAGCCCCCAATTGATGGCCGTGTTAAAAGGGCACTCCAGGTGTTGTGCGGGAAGCTTAGTTCCTTCCCAGGTCTGGTCATTTTCCTGATTGCCCACCCCCTTACTAACTCCTCTGTCCTGGGTTAATCAGAAAGCTAGCTGAGCATTGGCTTGTGTGTAGGGAGAGATTTTAGGCATCTGAATCGCTGACCACACTGGTTTAGGTATGGTCACAGGTACCTAGTAGGGACGGGAGCTAAGAGATGGGAGAAAGGACACGTGTGCTCTCTTGGGGTTCCGGTCAAGTCTCGGAGACCAGCAGAGCTCTGACTTCAGGTTCTTGGCATCTCATGTAAGTGACTTGTCCCTGATAAAGTATCATATGACATCCCTTCCCTGCATACCTTGTGTAGCTTGATATTCCACAATACTTGTGGATGAAGCAGCAAGGGACATTCCTCCACGGTTTCTGCTTTGAGTTCCTCCCTGACTTCCTTCAGTGATAGACTGTGACCTGGAAGTGTAATCCAAAGAAACCCTTCCCTCCCCTGAGTCGCTTTTTCCCCCTTGAGACAAGGTCTCATTATGTAGCCCTTGCTGGCCCGGAACTCTTCAGACCCACCTGCCTCTGACTTCTGAGTACTGGCATCAAAAGTGTGTGCCACCATGGCTGGCTCCAAGTTGCATTTGATCAGCGTATTTTGTCATTACGACAGAAAGGAAAGGAGAACATCAGTGTTCTAAGAAAGGGCAGCTGCAAAGACAGGTGGCAGGAAAGGGGTAGGCTCCAGGGATGTGCTCCCTGACGGACTGAGGAGGGACTAGGGGAGGATGGAACAAAGATGACTTCCAGGTTCCTAATCCTGACAGGAACCATGTCACTGGCAAAAAACGAGGAAGCTTGAGGCTGGGACATGAATGGGGATGTATGCATCAGGAGGTCTGTGGTGTTAGGTTCGAGATGTAGAGAATCCAAAGTGGAGGGCTCATGAGATGGCTCAGTATTCAGTGGGGCTTGCCACAAATCCTGATGACCTGAATTTGACCTCTGGGATCTACACCATAGAAAGCAGACCAACCAACTCCTTCACGTTTTCCTTTGCCCTCCACCTGTGAGCTGTGACACATACCCAATAAATGGGAGGCACTCCGGTGGGGGTGGGGGAGATTCTGGAATGGAGGTAGCAAACATGTGAACTAAGGTTCAGGGGCAAATCCAACCATGAGGATACAGTGCTATTTAGAGGTGTGGGGAGACTCCCAAGTGAGACCCGTAGAACTCATTTCATAGCTGAATGTAGTCCAGAGGGGTGTAGTAGATATTCCTAGCTGATTCCATGCAGAGTTGACTATGTGTACATGTGTGTATGTGTGCATTAACTGATAACAGAGCATGTTTACAGTGCGACCATGGTCAGTGTTCTGGCATTTTCGAAATAGAGCATCATAGGATCAAACTCCGAGACTATGAGGGTGTGGGCAGGCTTGGGTATGGAGATCTGCCCAGGATTAGATGGAGATCATCTTGGTCCCTGGAGGAAAGTGGGAGTTAATGGCTGATTAACTCAGCACAAGAGAGGGTGTAGAAGGGCTAGATCTATGATAGTAGTGCTAACTGAAATCTGCCAGAGTCATAGCAGAGTCTTCAGGAATGCCTTGTATCTGCTGGAGACTTGCTGACATCACTGCAGTGAAACAGCAGCTGAGGTAGTCTTCCAAGATACCCAGCTCCTGGGGTACAGGAAGGAGGAAGACAGGAGTCTGAACAGTGAGGGACACTGGGGGAGAGCATTAGGACGTGTTGAGAAAGTGGGAGACTAGCCACAGGTCACCAACAGCAGTTTTAGGCTGGGAGCAGGCAAAGGGACTCAAAAGGTTGAATGAAGAGAGGCTGGAAGGTATTTCAGGAAATAAACGATGTGGCACGGATGTGTCCCTCTATGTAATTGGGCACCACACGTAACTCTCAGGCCTTCAGACTCCTGCTGGTGGCAATGTGGTATGGCAGCCAGGTATCCCAGGCTCAGAGACTTGGTTCTGCAGTCTGCAGGTCCATGGAAGCTGTGTTGACAACAGCTGAGAAGACCAGGAAGATGACAGAGAAGGCTCTCTAGGCCTGTTACTCTGGCTCCCTAGGGGTGGTAACTGATCTGGCACCGAGGCTCACTTTCACTTACTCTTTACTTCCTCTGGACTTGACATTTCATCCTCCGCACTTGCTTGCTCCACACTGGGGCTGTCATAGAATCTTCATGGCCTGAGCAACTAAACCAGCTCCTGAGTGAGGCTCTTTCTGTCCACTCTTTATCACAGACAGGGGTCTGTTCAAACCTACCCCCAAACCTCCCTGCCCTAACACACACACACACACACACACACACACACACACACACACACACACACACACACACACACAGAGGCCGATTTTTCTCCAAAGCCCTTGTTACTGCAAAGGAGAAGCTGGTGGTAAAGGAAAGATCTATGTAGCTTCCTTTGCAGTGGGTGGCAGTATTGGAGAAAGGCAAGGAAAAGGTTTGAAGAATCAAACATTTACAGAGCACACAAGCTTCCTGGGCAACATCACTGCTCTAGTCATGATCCACTCTATGGGTGGTTTCTTCTTCCTTTTTCTTTTTCTTTTTTTTTTTTGGTTTTTCAAGACAGGGTTTCTCTGAACTAGCTCTTGTAGACCAGGTTGGTCTCGAACTCACAGAGATCTGCCTGCCTCTGCCTCCCAAGTGCTGGGATTAAAGGCGTGTGCCACCAACGCCCGGCTGCGCTCTAGTTTGTGAACTGTGCAGTGTGCCACCGCCATGAGGTCATTCCACACACAACCGTATAAACAACCCATTTTATTTTTAAGTTTTACAAAATTGAGAAAATATATATTCCTTTGAAGTATTTCACAAAAATATACTTTTATGTCAATCATATCTATTATCATTTTCATTTACCATATAATATTTCATTCTAGGACCATACCATAGCTTAACATACTTCTTATTAAAGAATATTTGATTGTTTCTTTTTTCTCTATTACAAACATAGCATTGGTTTATACATTAATACTACTATTTCTGTAGGAATAAGTTAGTCCTGTCAGCTGAGACTAGAGTGTCTGAGGGACAGAGGAATTTAGGTAGAGAAGCATGTACTAAGACATCATTTACTCAATGTTTGTGTTTGAGACAGGGTTTTCTGTAGTCCAGGTGGGCTTAGAACCTGCTGTTTCACAAGGAACACCATGTGCCCCCACCTGAGTCCTGGATACGTGTGTGCATCACCAGGCTACTCAGTGTTATTTGCATGTCTATGCAAAGTGCTGGTGTACAGTGGCAAGCAAAAATCCCCCTATCTGTGTGCTTCCTTCTCCTGTGGCTGGTCTAGCCACCTTCTAATCTAACAGTGCCACAGAAAGGACATCTGAGAGCTGTAGGGGTCAATCAGTTGCTGAGGGGCACGTGTGGGAGCATGCTGTAATTTGCCACACTTTCCTTTCTCTGTGCTCCTCAGCACAGATGGGATAGAACTCTGAACACCTGGTGTCCAGACTCTTTTGCAGAAGTGTTCTGCTAAGGTTACACATGGACACATGTCTCTGCAGACAGATGTGCTGGTGGAGGGACACAGGCCACTGCAGGACAGCAGCAGCAGAGGACACCCTGGGGTATGGGGAGTAGCCGGTAGGACATGGGGAAACTGGGGTGGTCTGCAGGGCTACACAGCTTCTCTGCAGTGCTGCCTGCTCTCTGGGCAACGCACTCCTCCTGCTGGCTCCAGCATCTGCTTAACAATTTGTATGTGTGTATGCTTGAGACAAGGTGTCACTATGGAGCCCAGGTTGGCCTCTGCCAATCACCACAGTGCCCCACCATGCATAGATCTTGTAGAAATTTTTTTGTGACCTAACCCCTGGAGAAAGTTCTCTCTCTAGAACACCTACATTGGTTTTGCTTTCCTGATTGATGGAAGAGCCCCCCTTTCACCCTGTCCTGAGACTCCAGTGGGAGCTGTACCCCAGCCTGATACAACTCTTCCAAAACTAACAGCTAGAACACAGGTGTGCCGGAAGATATGGCCACCAGCAGTCCACCTAGAAGAGGAGATACACAGCAAGAAGTCCAAGGGAACAGAGAGAAATCCGAGGAGGAGGAGATCCATAGTCACGGCACACCAGGGGCACTGGAAAGAAAGGAGAGCGACATCTGTCAGGAAAGGACAGCAATTCTCATTTTTCTGGGCATAGCGTGCTCTCTGCAACAATGCTGGGTCAGGGGCTGCTTTGCTTTAATGGGGCCAGTGGCGTAACTGTTTTAATACAACGGTACAGAGGTATTCATTCAATCAGCTTACACTTCTCACAGACACACACACGAGGGGTCCTTGCAGGTGTCACACAGGGAAGCGAAACCTGGTACAGACTGACTTTTTCAACCTGGATCACACTTCGGGGAATCTAATGCCAGGCGGTTCATTTTTTTTTTAAAGATTTATTTATATTTATTATGTATACAGTGTTCTGCCTGCATGTGTGCCCACAGGCCAGAAGATGCACCAGATCTCATTACAGATGGTTGTGAGCCACCATGTGGTTGCTGGGAATTGAACGCAGGACCTCTGGAAGAACAGCCAGTGCTCTTAACCTCTGAGCCATCTCTCCAGCCTGCCAGGCAGTTCATTGTCAGTATATTTAAAACACAGCACAATTTGGGAAAAGGTTTCCAGACAACAATCAGTCCAATCAATTCAATTCTAGACATACTACAAAGAGACTCATTTACAAAGTACATGTGACATCCCCCTAAGGATGGGAAATGGTGTAGGGAGGGAAGAGTCTGGGATAATCATTCTGAGGAATTAGGGTGAGGTCTGCCTCCACAGACAGCAAAAAGGTCACCAGGTCATCAACAACCTCCACTATCAGTTTTCTGGATGAAATGCGGGATTTTATCTCCTCCATTGAGGAGGTAAGCCTGCATGATTAGCATTCCTAGTTCTCTTAGTGCTTCTCTGTAACTATAAGGACCTCAGTGGCCCAACACATAGACGTTAATGTGAATACTAAGACTTTAAGAGATGTGCACGTGTTTAGTATGTACATGAAGAAGACAGAGTGCAATCTTTGGTGTTGTTTCTCGGGTAAGCTCTTTTACTGGGCCCTGTGACTTGCTGATTAGTCTAAATTGGCCACCAGCCCTCAAGAGCCTTCTGTTCCCGTGCCCAAGCATAGGTGACAGGCATATGCCACCATGTCTGGGCTCAGCTTCTTATGTGAGTGCTGGGGATCCAACTCAGGTTCTTTTTTTTTCAAGACAGGGCTTCTCTGTATTGTTTTGGAGGCTGTCCTGGAACTCTCTCTGTAGACCATGCTGGCCTTGAACTCAGAGATCCGCATGCCTCTGCCTCTGCCTCCTGAATGCTGGGATTAAAGTCGTACGCCACCAACGCCTGGCTCCAACTCAGGTTCTTACACTTGTAAATAAGCACTCCACTGGCCAAGTTTTCTCCCCAAATTTATTATTTTTTCTTTTATGTGCATTGGTGTTTTGACTGTATGTGTCTGTGTGAGGGTGTTGGATCCTCTGAAACAGGAGGTACAGACAGTTGTCAGCTGCTATGTGGGTGTTGGGAACTGAACACTGCTCCTCTAGAAGAGTAGCCAGTGCTCTTAACTGCTGAGCCATCTCTCCAGCCCCTCCCTAGTTTGTTTTAATGCTTATTCATTCATCACAATGCGTTTTGATGTTCATCTACCTATCATACCCACCCCCCAAGGGTTTGTCTGTGTATACCTGGCTGTCCTGGAAATCACTCTGTAGACCAGGCCTGTAATGAACTCAGAGATCATCTGCCTCTGCCTCCTCAGTGCTGGGATTAAGGGCATGCACCATCACACCTGGCTCATTTTTACCAGACATTACGACTGAAGATCTTCCTGCCTGGGCAGATCTGGACCCCGCCCCCCAGGCTTACATGTTAAAGGCAAGGTCCCCAGGGCAGTGTCGGGGGGCACAGTGATTCCTCCTGGTAGTTCTTTAGGCAACTGGGGGCTGGGGAGCGGGGAGGCTTGAGAGGGACTGTGGGATCCCCTTATTCTCTTTTGCTTCCTGGCTATGAGGCAAATGACTTTGCTGTCACATGTTTTAACCGCAATGCACTGCCTCCATAGGCCCAGAGTAACAGCACCAGTGGGGCATGGACCGGAACTTCTAAAGAAAAAGCCAAAGTGAACTTCCTCTTTCTGAGGCAAGCCACTCAGGTGCTCAGCTACAGCAAAGGCTGACTGACTATGTGCACAAGCATGGCCGAACTAAAGGAATGGGAAAAGAACTGCACGCACCTGGGCTCCTCCGAGCCCTCCCCGTCGCTGTCATCATCACAATAGAAGATGTCTCTGAACAGGAAGTCTTGTTTGGGAGCTGAGGGCGTCTGGATCTGGCTCTTGTTTTTCTCCATCTTCTTTTCTAGCTTTTCCTTCAGCAGAGGCAGACTGGTCTCATATAAGTAGTCAATGATCTCTGCAGAAAAGGTCATTTTGGAATTATTTGTATAAGCCTCCAATTAAGGCCAAAGGACACAGGACCTTAACAATAATGCCCGGCACCATTGCCACATGTAAGATCCAATTTAGCTGGTGCAGTCCCTTATGCAATCTTAGAGAAAATCCTATGAGGTAGATATTATTCTATCCTTATTTATTTAGGCACAGGGTACTCTCTCTGGTGTACGTATGTGTACATGTCTCTGTGAGCACATGTGTACAGATATACATACATGTGCACACATGTGGAGGTAAGAGGCTGATGTCTCAATTGCTCTCTACCTCATTTCTTAAGGCAGGGTCCCACTGAACCTGTAAGCTATAGCTTTTAGCTTTGTAGATTTGGCAAGAGTGGCCAGTCAGGGAGCGCTAGGATCCTCTGGTCTCTGTGTCTCCAGAACTGGAATTATAGGTGTGCACTGCCACTGCCCAGCTTCATATGTGCTTGCTGGTGATTTAAGCCCAGGTGAACAAAAGGCTGTGTAGTAAACACTTTACTGAGATAATCCCCAACTCCCTCTGATCCATCCTTCCAATGAGGAAACTGAGACCCGAAGGCATTAACAAAGTTGCTGAAGTCATGGACTCAACAAGGAGGTGAGCTGGGCAGTAATGTCTGCAAAATATATTAGAACACTCTTCAGGGAAGTGTCCTGCCCTGTGGCTCAGGCACAACACTGTTGTGAGGCAGCAGACTGCCTGAAGAGGAGGGGGGAAACTCAGGAACCTCCCTTTATTTTATTTTATCATTATTTTTTGAGACAGGGTCTCATGTGGCCCACGTAACCTTGCTGTGTAGCAGAGGCTGGCCTCCAACTCGCAGAGACTCCCTGGCCTCTGCTTCCCTATTGCTAGGATCACCACACTAGGACAACACCATACTCTTTTTTTTTTTTTTGTTTTTTGAGACAGGGTTTCTCTGTGGCTTTGGAGGTTGTCCTGGAACTCGCTTGGTAGACCAGGCTGGTCTCGAACTCACAGAGATCCGCCTACCTCTGCCTCCCAAGTGCTGGGATTAAAGGCGTATGCCACCAACGCCCGGCAACACCATACTCTTAACTAGACAAGGATTTGTAATACTGACCTGGAAAAGTCTTTTTCTGCCAAAAAGGAACACAGGCAGCTTTCAGCTTATAAAATTTTGCCTGAACAAAAGGTGGAGGGACATCCCTTTAGAAAGGAAAAGTGGGGGAAAAAAGTGAAAATGTCATCAGTTCTCTTTTTGTGAGAGTTTCATGCATTCCACACTGGTCTAGAGCGCACTGTATAGTCAAGGATGACTCCCGATCGATCCTCTTGCCTTCACCCCAATGCTGGCATTACAGGGGTGCAGCACACCTGAGTTTATGTGGTGCTGGGGACAGAACCCAGGGCTTTGGGTGTGCCAAGCAGCACTAGGCCAGCTGAGCTGCACCTCAGCTCCTCTCCACACAGGGTCATTCTGCATGTGACTACTTTTGGGCACACTACTAGCTCAGTGGGTTCTTCTGTATGTAACTAGTTCCATGCACACTGAGAGTTGATTCTGCAGAATGTACTTCTAGAAACAGAATTACTGATTTCCAAATGGAATTACTTAAAGGGACTTTTCAAATGCTGAAGGCTACAAAGCAGATATAACTTCCTAAAAAAGACACCATCAGAGGAGGCGGACAAAGCAGTGCAGTTAGGCGGTGAGATGCGACCACTTTCTGAAGAGCAGGGTAAGGTGTATGAGGTCCATCTGTTCTTTATCTGTCTAAACTTCTGGTAAAGCGTTAAAAACTACTAGGCATTGCTGATAAAGCAGTGTGGAGGAAAAAGAGCTTATTAGAAAAGAATTCTCAAGAAGCTGAAAAACAAACTCAAAGAGAAACAGAAGAACAGCAGAGAAGGGGCAGAAGGAGGAGGACCATCAACGTCAAGGCTGCTTGAGATAGGTGGTCAGACCATGTGAGACAGAGATTGAGAGAAGGTTGAGTGAAAGAGAAAAATGGATAGAGGGATAGATGGATGGGTGGATGGATAGAGGGATGGATGATGGGTGGATGGATACAGGGATAGATGGATGGGTGGATGGATAGAGGGATGGATGATGGGTGGATGCAGGTGAGAACTACCAGGGAATGTAAAACTTGGCAGCCAGGTAACACCATTCATTCCATTGCTGCTGGATGTGGTACTGCTAGCTCTCCAGTTCTTGGAGTTGAAGGCAGGAAGAGGGCGAGTTTGAAACCAGTCTGGCAACACAGCAAAAGCAAAGCCAGGTGAAGCCCACGGCTCAGAGATGCTCTAGTGTGAGCTGGTGGTGTGTGGGGAGGCTGAGGGTTGAAGCCAGTGTCTTCCTCTATCTCTATACATCTTATCTTCTGCAGCCTGGAGCTCAGGGCATCCCCGTCCCAGCACCCTGTCCAGCTCTGACATGAGGTGAGACTGGATGGGAATCCTTGTGCTCAGTGGCAAGCACTTTATAGACTGAGTTATCTCTCCACCCACCTCTCTGCACTCATACAAGATTCCACACACAACATGAACTTTAGGCCTGTGGAAATGTGATAGGCAGTCGGTATTAAAGTCATCTCTTGGTGCTTGCCATAAAGCCTGATAATCTGAGTCTAGTCTCCACAACCCACGTGCTGACAGGAGAGAACTGAGTGTCAACGAGTCTTCTGATCGTCATGTGTGCACCATACACATGCACACTCATACACATGCACACTCATACACATGCACACTCATACATACACACACAATAAAGAAAAAATATTTTTAAAACTTTCTACCACTGAATAAGCTTAATGTTCAGTAAACAGTCTTACCCTATGGCACTAGCAAGATCTTCCCAATCTATTTCATTAGCATCATTCACGTTTAATTCATACAACCTGTAAGAAAAAAAAATTCAAGTAAAGTCCACCTCCACAGACTCACAAACTACCAAGAGCTGAAAGGCCAAGGGCTCCCATCTTATTCCAGTGCCCCCAAGTACACTGTCCAGTCTAGCCCAAGGTTATTGAAGGTCAGAGAGTAAGCTATGGAGATGAGCTGAAAAGCATCTCTCCACTCAACAGCCTCTCAGGAACTGTACACTGTTCTCAAGCCTACTACTCAAGACACTGTTAGCATCATATGTGCACTACTCATGCACAGTAATTCTCAGTGCCATGGTGGAGGGCGGGGCATCAGCCCCATTCTACAGTTAAGTAAACGGAGCTGAGGGCCTGGGCCACCGACTCAATTTGTCATGACTACCTAAGGTGAGACCCAGAACCCCAGTTCTGCTTGACCTGAGAAATCTCCTCAGATCTGCTACTCTGTCTCTCTTGCAGAATGAAGGGTGAGGTAAAGGCAGCCTGGGTAACACAGGAAGCATGGCGGAGGGCTGGGACAAAGAAGCTGGACAGGATGGCCACAACCAAGGGCCTCTGCTGCTCTTGCTACTACTCCAACATAAGCCTACACCTGCCAGACTCACCAGTGTCATAGTCTCATGCCTCCACTTCCCTTGGGACTACTGTGTTGAGGACTCTGCATAGACAAGAAACTCAGGACAAAACCAAGCAACGGTTGCACCAACTGTGTCACTGCAGTGTTACCAGGGCTGTCTAACTTTCCCGTCATCAATTCCCAATGGACAGGAACAGCACACTCATAAGAACAGCTCTACAGACTGAGCTAACAACCTTAACTGTGTACTCAGTATGGCCACCATGCATTGTCCCTCATACTTCCATGAATACTAGGAAACAGGTAACTTCTCTTTATCAGCCTCATTCAGAACTCGTCAACAAGCTCAGAAAGGCAGGCCACACACCCTCTGTGACACATGGGGGAGGTGAGTGCAAGCCACGGCATCCTGAGCTCTGGATTAACAATGTGTGGTTTATACAACACCCACTCCTATTTCAGTACCTTTCTATAAGGGTGATTTTGGCCTGCAGAGCATTGACCCCACGATACACGAATCCACCATGGGTCATCCTTTTGGTGAGAATTTCTGTCCTGTTAAGAAAAAGAATGTAGTTTACTTTTAGTTTAAAAGGAAAAGTTCCTATATTTTTAGTATAGAGAGCAAAAGGCCTTATACACACAGATAAACACTGGAGAAGCCAGGGAAGTTAAACCCACAGCTCACATCTTCAACAGAATGCGGTGCTGGCTGCTCTTCTAGGGATGGTGTTCTTTTACAACCTGGTGATCCTTTGCTGTGCGATGAGACAGGCTCTGCCTTAACTTCCAGAATTTATGTTTTTACTTATCCAAGACTTTTTTTTTTTTTTTTTGGTTTTATGAGACAGGGTTTCTCTGTATTGTTTTGGAGGCTGTCGATCCAGCCTGGCCTCAAACTCACAGCGATCCGCCTGCCTCTGCCTCCCGAGTGCTGGGATTAAAGGTGTGAGCCACCAACGCCCGGCCCCCCCTAAATCTTGAGCACTGCTTTTAGGCCATAAACCCTACTCTTGAGTGAGGTCGCTCGTGCTTTCCAACATCCTAAGTGAGTTCCATGTTATCTTAGGGCCAGTCCAGTCCCAAACACACAGGCGTTATGTTTACCTCAGTCAAGCTCCCTAGACCCTAAATCTTGGCCACTATCTCTGGGTCAACAGCACCCATTCTTGTGAAAGAAGCCAGAAGTACTTTGTAAGGAATCTCAGTGTAAACCTGTTTTATATTGCTGTTCACTTGGGGACAGAGTTAATTTTTATCTGAATACTTCTGTGCTCAAATGTTATTAAAGTAAGATGATCTGGGCCAGACTCTTTTTTTTTTTTTAAAGATTTATTTATTTATTGTGAATACAACATCCTGCCTCCATGTATGCTTGCACACCAGAAGAGGGCACCAGATCTCATTATGGATGGTTGTAAACCACCATGTGGTTGCTGGGAATTGAACTCAGGACCTCTGGAAGAGCAGTCCATGCTCTTAACTTCTGAGCCATCTCTCCAGCCCTGGGCCAGACTCTTAAGACCGGGCTCAGTGTCAGTTAAAATAAAGTCGGGCTGAGCTGAGCTTCATTCTTTTCTCTTAGTGGATCATTTTTTCCCCTTCCTTCTGTAAAGTCTGCAGGGGAATCACTATATCTTTAGCATATCAACTGCTCCATTCACTGGGCAGGAGTAAATAAATGGACAGAATGGCCATGACCGTTTAGTGTAGATAATGGGAAAGAGAGGGTCTATTTTGTGGTATGAAATCTGTATAAGGGGATTTTTTTTCAAATGATGAATGACAATTTTTGGTTTTATGCATAAAACCAGTTCTATAAAGGTGAAACACTTCAATTGTGAAGCACAGTATACTTATTTTATTTTATTTTTTTGGTTTTTCGAGACAGGGTTTCTCTGTGGCTTTGGAGGCTGTCCTGGAACTCACTTTGTAGACCAGGCTGGCCTCGAACTCACAGAGATCCGCCTGCCTCTGCCTCCCGAGTGCTGGGATTAAAGGCGTGCGCCACCAACGCCCGGTGCACAGTATACTTATGAATAGTGTTTTCTCAATGCAGCAGCTGGCTTAACTGCAGTACAATGGAGTCCACATCAAGTGTAAGTTACACAGGCCAGGGCTGGACGGTGAGCTCTCATCACCTCCATGTCTTCTCTTCAGTCCTTTGCTGAGTCACTGGCTGTATTTTGTGATATCATATTAGTGGAAATAAGACTTTTTGAGACCCAATTAACCATGGATTAATCAGAACCTTCCAAACTACTGGTGTTGAAGGAAGTGCAGCTTCTACAGCAGGGAACCGAGAAGAGGACATCTGTGTTGTAAGCTTTGCAGCAGGGGGAACACTGGAGAGAACCCACTTCAGCTAAAACAGGGTTTGTAGAGTTAGTGGGCCTGGTATGGGTCAACTATGCTAGTAACAGAGCCAACATTAAGCCTGGAACTGTTATTCCTCCCATAGAGTAGATGACTTTCATTGTAAAGATACTGTTAAACAATATCCATCATGTGGCTCTGGAAATTTTGTGAGTGTGTGCGCCTGAGTATGTGGAGGCCGGAGGTTAACACTGGCTGTGCTCCTCTAGTGCTCTTCATTTTATTTCTGTCACAGGGCTGCTACTCAACCTGGAACTCACTGGCAGTGGCAGTGCTACCAACGAGCTCCAGGGATCATCGGTCTCCAGCCCTCACCCCGTACCAGTGTTGGGGTTACAGCACTTGGCTTTTACATGGTGCTGGGACCCTGAACTCAGGTTCTAATGCTTTACCCACTGGGACATCTCCTCAGTCCCATAAAGGAGGTGTTTGAGAGAAAAGGAATAAGCCTATTCACATGTGCCGAACAAAACTATTCAAATGCTCTTTTTTTTTTTAGACAGTTTCTCTAGGTAGCCCTGTCTGTCTGTCCTGGAACTCACTCACAGAGATCTGCCTGTCTCTGCCTCCAGAGTACTAGGATTACAGGTGTGTGCACTATTACCACCCAGTTACAAATGTTCTTTGTGGTTGTTTATAAATAGGTGGCTATAGGGGGCTGGAGGGATGGCTCAGAGGTTAAGAGCACTGGCTGCTGCTCCTCTTGAAGTCCTGAGTTCAATTCCCAGCAACCATATGTTGGCTCATAGTCATCGGTAATGAGATCTGGCGCCCTCTTCTGGCATGCAGAACACTATATGTAATGAATAAATTTATATATACATATAAAAAAAGTACTGACTGCCGTTCCAGAGGACATGAGTTCGGTTCCCAGCACTCACATGGTTGCTCACAACTGTCTGTAACTCCAGTTCTTTTTTTTTTTAAGATTTATTTATTTATTACATATACACCAGACTGAATTGTAGATGGTTGTCAGCCACCATGTGGTTGCTGGGAATTGAACTCAAGACCTCTGGAAGAGCAGTCAGTGCTCTTAACCTCTGAGCCATCTCTCCAGCCCTGTAACTCCAGTTCTAAGGGAACAACACCCTTATCTGTCTCTGCTAACACCTACATAAATAGGTGGCTACTAGGGCTGGAGAGATGACTCAGTGGTTAAGAGCACTGGCTGCTCTTCCAGAGGTCCTGAGTTCAATTCCCAGCAACCACATAGTGGCTCACAACCATCTGTAATGAGATCTGGTGCCCTCTTATGGCCTGCAGGCAGACATGCAGAGAGACTCTTTAAAAAAAATTGTTATTTCATAGAAAGATATAGTCAAGAGTTACAACAAGTGGCAGTGCATGCCTTTAATTCCAGCACTCTGGATGTAGAGGCAGGCAGATCTCTGTGAATTTGAGGACAGCCTGGTCTGCAGAGTGAGTTCCAGGGCAGTCAAGGCTGTTACACAGAGAAACCCCATCTCAAAACACCAAAATCCAAACAACAACAAAAAGAGACACAAGTCCATCTCAGTCTACTGCTCAGGCTAGCTCCAAATGTGAGATCCTCCTGCCTCAACCTCCTGAGTACTGGATTCACAAGTGTACACCACAAAGCCTGTCTTTAAGTTCTATATGAGGAAGAACTAAACCCCTGCACAGAAGTTGTTCCACACCTGCATGCTGTGAATCAAGGCACATTTAGGCGCTGACTGAAGCAGGTGCAGCAGGGGCTGGAGCACTCTTGACACCGTGTTGTGCACAGCGTTCCGCAGGGCAGAAGAGGAGAGCCCACCAGAGGACAGGGAGCCCTCACTTACCACTTACTTTTGCACTGCATCCAGTTTCTGGTCTCCACTTTCGCTTCCACTTCCACCCACGATATGCCCTTGTACAGTTTTTCCCGAACAATCGACAGGCGACCTTCAGGGTCTTCCTGGAGTCTAGAATCCAGTTCTCTTAACTCTTGGGGAGACATTTTCTTTAGGATCACATCCTCCACAGCCTTGATTAGTCTCTGGGTTTCTGTCTTACTCCAAGCACCGTGGTTTCTATCTGCAGACATAAAAGGATGATTTCGTAGCTGTTTATCTATTTGCTTTTAAGCACGTTAAAAAGATGCTGGCCGGGCTTGGTGGTGCACACCTTTAATCCCAACACTTGGGAGAGACAGGCTAATCTCTGTGATTCTGAGGGCAGCCTGGTCTACAGAGTGAGTTCCAAGACAGCCAGGGTTACACAGAGAAACTGTCTCGAAAAACTGCCCCCACCCACTCAATAAATAGATAAGATAAACTTTGATAAATCAGGCCCTTTCCAAAAAACAGTGGGCAAATGCTCAATCAAAGCTACCTAAAACAACTGACAACAGTTCCTTTTGTTTTTTTGAGACAAGGTCTCTCCATGTAGCTCTGGCTGTCCTGGAACTCATTATGTAGACTAGGCTGGCCTCAAACTTACAAAGATCAGCCTGCCCCTGACTCTCAAGTACTGGGATTAAAGGGTGTACCACCCTACCTGGTTTAAGCTCCAACATTCTGGGGCAAAGTGATTGACTGCATTATCTCCCTCCCAGAGGCTCCACCTGGCCAGTTTCTGGAGGACCAGCAGAACCAGATGGATTCATGCTCCTGTGTATGGGACTGACGCAGGTCTGTGGGCCCAGCTAATAAAAGCTACAGTTTCACTGAGCACGTGAAGAAGCCAAACGAGCTAACATTAGAGAACATGCATAAGAACGGGCCCACAGACACCTCTGCACACTCGCGCAGTCATTGGCTTAGTTCACAGAGACACGCCACTTACGACCACCAATCTGAGAGAACTTCAGGGCCACAGAGAGGCTGCTTCGGGCCACCATTGCCCCGATCTTTTTCCAGTCATTTCCATGGAGGGAATGGTATGCCTTCAGCTTCTTAGTATCTTCTTCATTGTACCTGAGAAGGCAAATGGCTGTTTAATGACGTCCAAGACTAGAAAGGGCACCTCATGGCACTTCTTTGGAAAAGGCAGCACTGACAGGAAGCCATGCTCCTCCTTCCAATGACTGGAGTCCCTCACTGCCTGTGTCGGCATTCTAGCAGTGGTCATGTCCTCAGACACGGCTGGCCAGAGCCAGAGGCTTGACTCTCTCAGAGGCCACAGCAAGCCACCTGAGCCTGTCCTTGCCCCAGAGCCTCCGTGCTGGCTTGGATATGGCTCTCGCCACCCACCGGTGGCCACCTGGAGGGTGCCCTGCAGGGAGCACTGCACTGGCCAGCTGGCCGAGGCCCCTCGGAGCTTTCCCTGCACTGTCCTAGGCCTGCCATTTGTACCTATGGACCCCTGGACCACACTACTTCCTCTAGACCAGTGCTGACTGCTGTCAACCAAAACATCATGGAAGCCACCCAGCTATGCTTCACTTCCCCACAAGGAAGAATTCACTTCACGTAGTATTAGTAAGGTTAACATGGGAACAAGTTTCCCATTCTGGGAAGCACAAGGCCCAGGCTCCACCTAAATGCATGACACAACACCTCCAGGAGTCAGTGTCAGAAGGCACTCATGACTTCCATTCGAAACCCAGCACAGTATCTGCTCTCACCACACGTGGCAATATGGGTTAATTCTTTGTGGCCAGTGGCCGTACAGGAGATGGCAAAGCTGGGAGGCAAGGCCCACGAGGAAGGGGCCTTGTCGCCTGGCTGTCTGGGAACTCACAGAGATCCACCTGCCTCTGCCTCCAGAGTGCTGGGATTAAAGGCATGTGCCACCATGCCCAGCAGATTTCTAAATCTTAACCCAAGGTGGGGGTGGAGAGAGCAGTGGTTTATGTCAGACAAGGGTCTGGTAGAACAGTGACAACCTCTGACTTGGAACTTCTCTAGCACAGTAGTGTTCCAGTGTCTGCAGAAACTGCACTCACAAACAGGGACTATGGAAAACACAAGACATTAAGACTTATGGGAGGTGGGCTGCACCGCCACTCAGTGGTAAAAGGATAGACTCACAACCAAAAGGACAAGAATTGTGGGTAAGCTGGGCATGCCTTTAATCCCAGCACTCGGGAGGCAGAGGCAGGCGAGTCCAAGCCTGGTCTACAGAGCAAGTTCCAGGACAGGCTCCAAAAAATACAGAAAAACCCTGTCTCGAAAAAACCAAAAAAAAAAAAAGAACTGTGGGTAAAGGCTGGACAGATAGCACTTACTATTCTTCTGTTCTTTCTTTCTTTTTTTTTTTTTGGTTTTTCGAGACAGGGTTTCTCTGTGGCTTTGGAGGCTGTCCTGGAACTCGCTTGGTAGTCCAGGCTGGTCTCGAACTCACAGAGATCCGCCTGCCTCTGCCTCCCGAGTGCTGGGATTAAAGGTGTGCGCCACCAACGCCCGGCTCTTTTTCTTTCTTTCTTTCTTTCTTTCTTTCTTTCTTTCTTTCTTTCTTTCTTTCTTTCTTCCTTCCTTCCTTCCTTCCTTCCTTCCTTCCTTCCTTTCTTTCTTTTGAGACAAGATCTCTCTTTGTAGCCCTGGTTGTCCTGGAATTTGCTACGTAGACCAGGATGGCCTTGAACTCAGAGATCCTCCGCTCCTGCCTCTGCTTCCCAACTGCTGGGATTAAATGTGTGCTACACTTACTGCTCTTGTAGAGATCCCAGGTTCAGAACCCAGCACCCACATGGTGGCTCACAACAGTCCGAAACCCCAGTTATAGGTGATCTGACACTTCCTCTGACCTATGCAGATTCCTGCCTGTATGTGGTACACACACATACATACAAAATACATATTTTTAGATTAAAAAATTGTGGGTGAGAGTATAAGTATACAGTGGGCAATGGGAATGGGAGAGAGGGATGCAACAGGCTGACTCGGTAGGTACCATGCTCCCCAAGTCAGAATGAATGCCTCAGTTCAAATCCCTCACTTAAAAAAGCATGCACACAAAAGAAAAATGAAGTGTAATTAAAAACTAATGTAGAATGTTGGACACATTCCAAAAATGGAAGTTGGGGACTTTATTTGGGAAAGAGAGGAGAGTATGAACCACGTGAGCATTCTGCACGCACCACAGAACTGCACCATGTGGTCTAACCTGCATCTGCAGACATTTACAGGAAACCCAACTGAATGCGCCAAGGCACAGAGACCACCACCGTGAGAGAAGCTCCAGCACTTGGAGTTTACTATGTAGCAGAGAGCAGAGCAAACAGAAGCCAGGTTAGAGGCAGGAGATGCCCAGGGCTGAAGCCAGGCACAAAGAAAAAGAGGACACTGAGTAGAGAAGATTCTAGAGGGCTTATTCGGTAAGTGGGAATGGAAATGAATCTTCAAGGCATATATTTAACCAATCCCCAGCTAAGTTTCAATGCAGAGATCTTTGTGATCTTCACCACAGCTGTGGATTCTTGACATCAGGATCCATTCTGGCCCAAGTGGTAAGATTTTCTTACCTGCCTTTGTAATTATTCACATCAAATATCTTCTTTGCACGATAGTACACAAGCTTCCAGGGCCGAGCGATGCCTTTCCCTATAGATAGTTAGAAGACAGAGTCAGAGCTGGGTGGTAGTGGCTCACGCCTTTGATTCCAGCACTTGGGGAGGCAGAGACAGGTGGATGTCTATGAGTTCGAAGCCAGTATGGTCTATAGAGTGAGTTCCAAGACAGCCATCAAAACTACAGAGAAACCCTGTTTTGAAAAACAAAGCAAAACAAAACAAAACAAAATAAGATCCACTCAAGACCCTCACTGGATTGCCATTTCAGCATGACTTTAGAGCAGCACTAGAGAGGACCAGCCCTCTCCCCAGCCAAGCCTTTCCCATCTCCCTCTCTCCAGGGGCCATCATCCTCCCTCCCTGTGTATAGTTCAGAACTATATGAAAGCTGGTATGAAATTACCAGCTTCAGATTCAAAAAAGGTTCTTTCATGAGGAACCTGATGCCACTTATTGATCTTTTTTCTTTTAATGTATTTTTTTGCCAGACATGGTGGCTTAATCCCAGCACTGGGGAGGCATAGGCTGGTGGATCTCTGAATTTGAGGCCATCCTAGTCTACAGAGTGAGTTACAGGACAGCTAGGGCTACACAGAGAAACCCTTTCTTGAAACGATGAAGAAATAAAAATAAAATAAACAAACAATATTTCAAATTAATTTGTTGAGAATTTCATACACTATATTTTGATCATATTCACCCCCAACTCCCTTTCCCTAAGTCCTCTAAGATCCACCTCCTCCTCTCTTTGCCCCCAACTGTGTGTAATCTTCTTTGCTTTTAACAGCCTGGTCTCAAATTCGTGCTGTCCATAAACTTCTGGGTGTGGAGCCGCTCTCGAAGGACTTATTGACCTTCTAACTTTCTCAGCAATACCCACCAGGAGGGATCTAGCTCAAAGCATGGTACTTAGAAGACCACGACAAGAAACTGAAGTCATAATTACTGCCAAGTAGACAAGGTAGACGATCACTTACTTTTCCATTAAATCCATAGAAGCACTAGTTTGAGAGACACAGACACACTGTAAATTCCATGGGATTCATAATAAGTATTCATCACCACGGAGAGACACACAGACTCACACCCTACTGAGGCAGTGTGGGAAGGCCAAGGTTGCTTGAGTTTGTTCCTCCACTTACCAATGTGCAGTCTGAATGCATGCTTCCGTTTTAAGTTGGTGATCAGAGACTTTTCCTCTGGATATCGGTCTGTGTACAGTAGCTTGTCTGCACTCTCAATTCCAGTAAGGGACAGGAATTCTTGCACATTTTTCTCTATTTGTTCATTTTCTTTAGCAGAAAATTTGCCAAATCTAATAGCAACACCTAGGGTAGGGGGGAGTGAGGAGAGAAAGTGAGTACTATCAATAATGAATAAAACAAACCTACCACATTCGTTTCTTTTCTATGGTGTGGTGTAGGGTGTGTATGTGCAGAGACATGTTTGGTGATTATCGGTCAACCTCACTCAGCTGTTGAGCCTTAGATCCACCTTTTTTTAGTGGTAGGTTCTCCTGTTGACTAAGTAGGCCAGGCTGGCCCACCAGCAAGCCCCAACGATCTTTCTGTCTCTGCCTCCCCACTGTTAGGGTTACAAGCACACACCACCATGGTCAGCTTTTTTACATGGATTCTGGGACCTGGATTCAGGTCATCAATCATGTTTGCCCAACAAGCACTTTATTGAGTGAGCATCTCCAGAGCCTAAATGGAAACCTACTATACTCAAAATACCAGGGCCAGCAGGACCAGCCTGCTGGGAGCAGCCCACTGGTATCTTTAGCACTGAGTGGCTCCCCAGTCCCCATTATCAAGTCTGGTCTAAGGTATAGTTCTTCTCCCCACGTCCAAACATCTTTTCCCACAGTGACTTGCTTACTTCCTTTATATTGAAGAATATAAAAGAAGCCCCACCCCCACCCCCACAGCACATGCCACTGAACTCCCTGAAAGTGCTGTTCCAAGGACTAGCAGGAGCCTGCTGAATCAACACAAGCGTCAGGGCTAGGGCTGACGAAACGTAATACAGTTTACAGTGAACTCCTGATCAATCGTGTGAATAGGGCATTGTTCTTTCTTTTTGCAGACCTGGAGACTCAGAGTTTTTACCTGTCTGGTTTTAGATGTTTTGTGTTGTGACAGGGGTCTCATGTAGCTCAGGCAAGTCTCAAACTCCCTATGCAGCTATGAATGGGCTTGAATTTCTGATTCTCCTGCTCTCACCTCCTGAGTGCTGGGATTACAGACATGCACCAGCACATTCAATTTATGTGGATGCTGGGAATCAAACCTAGTACTAGGTGCATGCTAGGCAAGCACTCTACCAACTGAGCTATTAACTTCAGCCCTGGTTTTAGGTTTATTATACATACATACATACATACAACAAAATAAATAAGTAGCCTAGTCATTTACATGTGTAGCCAGGCATGGTGATTCACATCTGCTAATTCCAGCACTTGGGAAGCTGAGGCAGGAGGACTGAGTTTGAGCTGAGCCTGGACTACCTCATGATTCAACACAGAATACACAAAGGGGACACCAAGACACTTCTCTGTAACTGTGTCCACATGAGGTTCTTAGGTATGTGTGCTTAGCCTCTTGGTTTCTACTCTCTTCAACCACCTTGGCTCCCAAAGTCAGAAGCATAGTGCACACCTGTGTGAAAGAGTCCTCATGCCACACACTCTCATGCATAATAAATGCATGCAATGAAGAAACTTTCTTTTTTCGAGATAGGGTTTCTCTGTGTCCTGAAACTCACTCTGTGGACCAGGTTGGCCTGTAACTCACAGAGATCCACCTGCCTCTGCTTCCTGAGTACTGGGATTAAAGGCTAACGCCACCACTGCTTGGACCCATCAATCCAAGTTACTCACAAAAGCAGCTGCTGCCTGCTCTGCGCATTGCAAAGCTTACCTTGTGCCTTAAATTCTCTGAAGCGCCCCAGATCATCCCGATACATGCGTCTGATTGTGGTGGCTGCCCTTTCCTGAATATCAGGAATGAACTCTTGGAGCTGCTTCACTGCAGAGCCCAAGTCCACATCCGATTCATCAGAATCTCTCCCATCTTCAGAAACATATCTTGTTGCGGAATTGCTGGCTGATTCCAAACTGCTTTCTTCTTCACGGGTAGATTCTACCCTAAGGGAGAAACTGGGTTACCACCGGTCATCTTTTCAGACTGCACCTTGGAGTCATTCAGTCCCTCCAACAGTTTTTGCAAACCTGGTTACATTATATGGGTACATATGGACAGAAGGGAACTCCATTTCACCACTTTTTGTTATGTGCTGCTTCTCACCCTGGGTCCTAATAAGTAAAGCCCTCTTTATCTCTACTGAGGATCAGATACTTCTCCCAGCCCTTACAATTAACTTAGTTAACTCAGTGTTCAGGGTTATCCAACTGTGGCTGTTCCTGCTGCACGGGCTATGGGCCTTATTTCCTCCTTAGTTTTTTAAGTACCCATCTCAATTGCTTTCGCCAGTTCTTGACCAGATGTCAGAATCTGTCTGCTCTTAGTATGTTCAGGCATCAGTGTGTCTGTCAGACTGGGGACTAAACCATCTTGTTTACCTGTTAGCAAGTTAGTGACTTTCATAGAGCCAAGGAAAGCTAGAGCTACAGCCCTAGCATGTTCTTGCCTCGTGACCAGTGCTCTGACAATGTTCCCAGTTAAGACAGTACAAAGGACAATGTGAATGGCCCACACCTGTTATCATTACCACTCCATGTGGCATTTAACAATACTCCCATTTAACTCATGGGAAACTATTCTAAGTCAGACTACCAAACAAACACGAAAGTTACTGAATGAAAATGGGAAGAGAAAATCTGTCCCCAGTCTAGAATGTATAGGTGGGGAAAACTCCCTCCATCAGTCCACTAGACAGGGTACTTGCATACCATTAGAGTAACAGTAGCTACATTCCTTGTGTGAGATTCAATGCAAGAGATTCAAGGTTTTGCTGCTTTGCAGCATCCTCAACACACTCCCAGACAAGCTACATGGCTTGGGAATCTTAAAATGGCTCAAATGTACAGCATTAGGTAGAACAGACCTTGGTGAAAATCTAACTTAACTACCTTCTTTTACACATGTATAGATTTAGCTATCTGCTGAGACGGCTCAGTTAAATGTACACATTACTATGATTTCTGCCATTTCATATGCACACAGAAGATACACCCTATCCCCAGCTCACCCCTGCATCCCTTCTGCAGGCTTCTCGCTGGAACACGCCTGGGTTTCTGCCTTCCTTGGTCTGCAGTCCACATTCTCTTCCCTCAAAGCATCAGCGCCTTCTAATGAATCCACGAGGGCATTCTCAGCACAGCTGTCCAGCCGCGTGGCGCTGTCACTGGAGGTAGCAATAGCAACAGACGCACACTTCCCTTTCTTAGACTTTTTCCTGATACTTTCGGATCCTTTGACCCTCTCACCATCTCCAGTCCCAAACTCTCCTCCAGGGTGTACACTATCAAGACTCTCAGGCGTGGCCCCCGATTCCTGGTTCCTGGACACTTTTTCCTTGGACACTCTTTTATGAGACACCGATAGTTCTGGGCTTCTGCCTTCTAGATGCACAGAAGACAAGGAATCTGAGTGGGGCAGGGTGATGCTCTCAGGCTGGCTTCCCTGTACTGCATTCCAGGATGCAACTCTCTTCGGATGCTTTTGATTCTTTTTGCTCTGACCATCACTGGGTAGCTCTTGACAGTCGTGTTTCTGGTTCTCTGCTTTGTCCGCTTCTGCTGACTTCTGTCCCTGGCTTACATCTACATAGACAATATCCACATCTTTCCTAGAACTCTCTAGCAGGTTCTCCACGTTTTCTTTATTTACAAGGATGATCCCTGTTTCCATATCCACTTCCCAAGCACAACTTTTCTTTTTCTTTTTATGGGTAGAAGTGGTCTTTTTGGCTTTATGGAAGGTTTCTGAATTTTTCAGAAGGGAAGAAGTAAGTTGCTGGGGCTCCTTCCTTTTCTTCCTCTTAGTTATGTGAGAATGCTCACTCTCCAAGCTCTCATGGGCTGGTGTCTGGGACTCCTTCCTCTTGGCTATGTGAGGCTGCTTACCCTCTGAGCTCTCAGGGGCCGGTGTCTGGGACTGCTTCCTCTTCTTTTTCCTCTTGGTTATGTGAGGCTGCTCACCCTCTGAGCTCTCAGGGGCCGGTGTCTGGGACTCCTTCCTCCTCTTTTTCTTCTTGGCTATGAGAGGCTGCTCACTCTCTGAGCTCTCAGGAGCCGGTGTCTGGGACTTCTTCCTCTTCTTCCCCAGCTTGGACATCCAAGGATGCTCATTCTCCAAGCTCTCAGGGACTGGTGTCTGGGACTCCTTCCTCCTCTTCTTCCTCTTGGGTATGTGAGGCTGCTCACTCTCTGAGCTCTCAGAGGCTGGTGTCTGGGACTCTTTCCTCCTCTTCCTCAGCTTGGATACCCAAAGATGTTTACTCTCTAAGTTCTCAGGGGATTGTGTCTGGGGTCTTTCCTCAGACACAGAGGACTGTTTCTTTTTCTTGTAAAAAACTGCAGTGTGAGTTTTAGATCTCCTGGTGTTTCGTTCCATCGTATTCCTTTAGAAAAATGTGACAAAAATGGTTTATTTTGGCATTTTAAATGTAAGTTTGGATGCAGGGGTGATATAGCACAGTCAAACGAAGCTGTATGACAAATGACAAGTCTGTAGTCTTGACTATAAATTTTATATTATTCAAAATATATAGGAAGCTCACTGTGATCAGCTTTGCCTTTATGATACACATTCAAGAAAGCACACATACACACAACCCCCAACCCCCAGCTCACAGGCAGTAACACCCTAGACCACACGCCACTCACAGACTCATCTTCTGTGTATATGCACTTGTTATGGTTCTCTCAACACGCCCTTCCTTTCCTGGCTCTCCCTGGGATCTCTGCTGCCTCCTACTCTCCTGGCTGCTACTGCTGATCCCTTGCCTGTCTGTGAGTTTGGCTAGAAGACTGCTTTGCTTTATCTTGGTTCTGGATTTTTTTGAGACAAGGTTTTGCTATGTTGGCCCCCACAATTGGGGCAGTCCATCCATTTCTGTCTCTTCAGTCCTAGGACTACAGGCAGGATCACAGCACCAGCTGGAAGGTGACTCCTTTAAGAAAGCTTCCTCTTACATCAAGCTGACCAGGAAGCCTCTTTCCTGGCTAGCTCTCACAGTACCAGAGGTGCTATGTGGTTGCTGAGTGGAAGATCACCACAACCACACCCAGCTATGAGCCCTGTGAATGACAATGAGAGGCATGGCAAGTTGTGGGGGGCAACAGTGGCATGAATGTTTTGAGGGTAGCAAACTGCTTTCTAGGTGGTTTTAAGGCCTGCTTGGTACTGAAATCTGGCCAAGAGTCCATGGTTAGAGAGCTCACAGGCCCCAAGGGTGAATCTACTACTATTTTTTTGTTTGTTTTCCTTTTGGTTTTTCTGTGTAGTCTTGACTGTCCCGGAACTCACAGATATCCGCCTGCCTCTGCCTCCTGTATTCTGGGATTAATGGCGTGCACCACCACCACCCGGCAGTGAATCTACCACTATCATTCTGCTAAGCAGACATAGCATCAAACTACCTCTACGTTTGTACCTCTCTACCCATACATCAATCTCTCAGCTCATCAGAGAAGTTCTTTTGTGCTGTGGACAGCAGTTAACGCAGAAATTCACAACCAGTCAAGCTACAGAGAATAAAGCCGGGCTGCAGTGGTGCACACAGGTGATCTTGCATTGAGCCCACCTGGTCTGCAAAGTGAAATCCAGGATAGCCAGGACTACACAGGGAGACCCGTTCGGAAAAACCAAACAAAACAACACATACCAACAAAAAGGTGCAGAGAATAAGTGCTAGTGGAGTAACGGGACACCTGTATCTCTTGCTAGTGGAGTAACGGGACACCTGTATCTCTTGCTAGTGGAGTAACGGGACACCTGTATCTCTTGCTAGTGGAGTAACGGGACATCTGTATCTCTTGCTAGTGGAGTAATGGGACACCTATATCTCTTGCCCACCCTTTCAGAAAAGGGGAAAGACCCCGAGAGCCTAGGCTGAGGAGAACCAGAGGGAAACAGCGTCTTCTGGACTGACATGACTGCACTCACAACTCACAGCAGCTGTGTATAGCTGCCTATACAAGATCAAGCCGGTCAACATTCAAACACTGAGGGGGAGGAGCTAGCGAGCTCCCACTCCGAACTGAGGTGACACGGACTTCTGGGGAAGAGAGAGGCCGTTTTCTCTAAGGGTGTGGTCCCTGGTAGGCTGGCATGGCTCCAGTAGATGGCCCCACACCCAGAGTATATGGTAGCACAAACTCGACTGGATGGGTTATTTTTTAAAAAGAAAACAAAGGCTATGAAATTGGGAGGGAGTGGGGGTGGATCTAGGCGCTGGGGAAGTAGTGGGGATGAATATGATCAAACTGAATTTCTCAAAGAATTACAACATTTTCAAGGAAGTATTATACTGAAGGCTGGGCAGTGGTGGAGCATACCCTTAGTCCTAGAGCTCGGGAGGCAGAGGCAGGCGGATCCCTGAGAGTGCAAAGCCAGCCTGGTCTACAGAGTGAGTTCAGGACAGCTAAGGCTACACAGAGAAACCCTGTCTTGAAAAAAAAAAGTATTTTAAAAAAAAGCTTCCTTTCCTCATTATTTCACAGCAATCTGTGCTTCTTTCGTAGCACTTGTAATTATAGAAATTAGCAATGAGCCACTCTGTCATTCAACACCTAAGTCCTCTGCTAGTACACAGATCCCACACAGGGAGGCAGTTTGTGTCTTGCTCCCTCTATTTCTACTACCTCAAAGCCATGACCCAGCCCACCATTAGAGTGAAGTGAGCTTTGTGCTGGCATCACTAAGCATCCACAGACCTAATGCAGAGCCACTAGCCTTTAACAAAGAGGATGGATGTGCCTTGTTAGTAACCAGCAAAACAAGGAAACTCCACAGTATTTAAGCGCCAAATTTTGTGTTAATACAGACATACAGGGTATACGAATTTTGGAATAAATATACTAATGGGGTAGAGATGTAGTTCCACTGGTAAAGTGTTTACCCAGCACACACCAAGTCCTGGCTTCAATCCCTAGCATTTCATAAATCTCTATAGTAGCACGTAGTGTAACCCAGCACTGAGAAGTAGAGGCAGTAGGGTCAGAAGTTCAAGGTCCTTCTCAGACACACAGTAAGTTTGAGGACAGCCTGGGATACTGAGACCCTGCCTCAGACCCTCCTCTCCTCTCTAGTGCATAAAGAGTCACATACATGGGCTGGAGAGATGGCTCATCAATTAAGAGCACTGGCTGTCCTTCCAGAGGAAGTTCAAATCAGTACCCACATGGCAGCTCACAGCTGTCTTTAACTCCAGTGTCAAGGGATATGACACCCTCACACCAATGCACAATAAAACAAAGTTAAAATTTAAAAAAAAAGGATTATATACATGCATTTTATATTCTTCTTCTCAATATGAATTACTTCTGCGCTCAAATATTTAGAATTTATCTTTGATGGCTAGGTAACATACTTAGATGGTTCAAAATAGTGTACTTTTTTCTTTTCTTTTTTTGAGACAGGGTCTCTCTATATGGCCCTGAGTATCCTGAACTCACTTTGTAGACTAGACTGGCCTTGAACTCAGAGATCTGCCTGCCTCTGTCTCCAGAATGCTAGTATTAAAGGTGTGTGCCAGTACACCCAGCCTAAAACTGTGTGCTCATATTGTAGGGGAAAAGGAACAGCCAAAGAAACACACTTTGGCCCTGCAACCAGAACCAAAGAAATGCACCCTGACGCTAAACCTGTGCAAAAAACTAACCAACCCCTAAGCAGGAGATCTAGCCAATCTTAAGCTCAGGGATTGAAATCTGACCAATCCTCACCCTGGAAAAAACATCCTCTTAGAATCCCTATATAAAACCTGTGCCTGCTCCACTTTTGGCTGTTCAGGCTGCCTGGCTGTCCTATGCCACCCTGGCAGAGGGAAGCCACTCTCCTGGATTCTTTCCTCCCAATAAATCTCTTGAATGAGGTTTGGGTGAGACCTTTCCATGGAGCAGAGACGACCCTGGGCGGAGGGGAGGGGAGTACGCAGAGCAGGACTGTAAGTTTTCACTGGGGAAACCTTCCCCGGTGAAGTGAAGTTGTTACATCTGCTCTCATGGGGACTGAAGCTGAACTGTAACAACTTCGACAGGGAAGCCCTCTCCTGCTGGAGCAGAGCTGATAACTGAAGCAGGGCTGTAAGCTGCTATGCTTACTGTGACCTGTGGTATTGCCTGGCTCCCGAATGCCAGAATATCTTTCCATCCAAGCTATAACACTCAGTATTCTTTGGCTCCCTAGGGCCAGAATATCTTTCCATCCAAGATGTAACACTCAGTATTCTTTGGCTCCTGAGTGCCATAATCCACCCCTGTCCATCCCTTCTGAGCTGTCAAAATGCCTACACTTATTTCTCATTATCTCCACGTTCTGACCTGTAGCTTGTTTTTACTAGCAGACTCTAGATTTCTCTCTCTGCAATAAGCGTGTAGTCCTGTTTCTCCTACCGCCCAAGATAGGGTTTCCTCTGTGAAGACCAGGCTGCACTCGAACTCACAGAGATCTGCCTGCCTCTGCCTCCCAAGTCCTAGGATTAAAGGTGTGCTCCACCACTGCAGCAACCTTTCCTACAGAAGGCACCTCATTTATCCTGGGTAGTAAATGGCAGCTGTAAGGTCTGTGTTCTGGAGAGAGAAGGTGCCAAGAAAAACCAGTTTAATTCTCACATACAAGGCAGGTCCTCTGCTTTAGACCTTCCTCTCCAAGGTCACCCAGCTGGGGAAGTGCCACCTAGAGACGCAGGGGGCCCTTTCAGAGACTTTTGGAGGGCTCAGCTGACACACAGTAGGAGTGCACAAATGCTATTCAGGGTTTAGCAGACAGTCTTACATGTAATCACTGTAGCCTCAGCACCTCACAAATTATCTGGTTCTGCACAGTAATTTATTTATTTATTTATTTATTTATTTATTTATTTTGGTGTGAGTTAATGCTTTCTCTTTGGCTGCTCTCGTTATTCTTCGGATAAAATAACATCCTTCCAGACCCCCAGGGCCTTCTGTTGCTCATGACGTGATCTAGCCCATGCCTCGCATTTCTGCCTTGGTTTCAGGCCCCCAGGGCAATCCTCTGTCCTTGGAAGGCACTATGCTCAGATTTCCTCCTCGGGACCACGCGACGCCTCAATGCCCGGTGATCGGCCTCAGTGTGCCAGCCACTTTATCAAGGTGCCTTCACTGACTCCTAGCTGGGTTCCACGCTCCTTTCTGCGCACAGACTCCCCGGGCCACCTTCCCGAGGCGCACTATCCAGAGCCGAGACGTGCTCCGTCTCATCTAACGAGCGGAAATGAACTAATCCCCACTTCCGGGCCCGCGCGCACTACTCTCACCACCCGTGGACTGGGACTGACCCTGCTCTGACCCGGGGCAGCGACCCGAGGGCCAGGCTGCAAAGATCGCGCAGGCCGCCGCATGGGTCCCGGGTCCCCCATCCCCCGGGCGGCGAGGAACGGCCAGATCCGCCTCAGGCCGCGGCCCCGCACAAGACGAGGCCGTAGGGCCGCCACCCGCCACATTCGCAAACCAGAAGCTCAAACAACGAAAGAAAGTTCATCCAACCTACCCGGCGACAACGTAGCCCCAAGTCTTCCAACCCGGAAGTATTGTGGAAGCGGAAGTACTGTAATGACTTCCGGCCCGCTCCGCATCCGGCTGCCATAGTAACATGGTTGCATACAAGGATTGAACGCATGCGTAGTTGCCTGTCTATGAGGGAAAGCATTGAAGTTGGGCCCCTCTAATTAAGCGGCCGGGCAAATCCCGGCCCCCAGAAGCAGAGGCTGGTATATGTGAGTTCGAAGCAAGCCTGATCTACATAGTGAGTTTGAGGCCAGATTACATAGTGAGACCCTGTTGCAAAAAAAATTAAAAAACTAAGCCAAACCAAACCCCGAAAAACTTAGCTTATAAGAAAAAGCAAAGCCGGGCATTGGTGGGGCACGCCTTTAATCCCAGCACTTGGGAGGCAGAAGCAGGCGGATCTCTGTGAGTTCGAGGCCAGCCTGGTCTACAGAGCGAGTTCCAGGACAGCCTCCAAAGCTACAGAGAAACCCTGTCTCGAAAAACAAAACAAAACAAAAAAGAGAGAAAGAAAAAAAGAAAGAAAGAAAAAGCGAATCGGGTGTGTGGGGAACAGAGAGCCAAGCAGTGGTGGAGCTTGCCTTTAATCCCAGCGCTTAGGAGGCAGAGGATCTCTGTGAGTTCCTACCAGGTACGTATAGTGCTGGGAACTGATCTCAGGGCCGGACAAGCACTTTAACAGTGGAGCTACACACCAGCCTAAAAGCTGTAAGTTTTCTCATTTACTCTCTCTCTGTGTAACAACTCTGGCTGACCTTGAACTCAAGAGATCCGCCTGCCTCTGCAGCCCAGAGTGCTAGGATTAAAGACGTGTACCACCACCGCCATCGGACTTTCATTTACTCTTAAAACTGCCCTATGTTGTAGTTAAAATTATTGGGCATTACCATCTTGTAATGAGAAAACTGAGGCTTTTTTGTAAGTTGACAAGATGACTTACTTGGACCGGGGTTCCAATCTATGCTTTCTCCCTCTACTATTCTACTTTTCTCTAAACTGCTGTGACTTCCTCTGTGAGAGCTGCTAAACGCCTTTGTTTTAAAGGGCTGGGGAGATAGTTTAGTGGTTAAGAACACTTACTGATTGTACAGAGGACCCAAGTTCACTTCCCATTACCGTGGTAGCTTATAGGTGTCCATAACTCCAGTTCCAGGGGATCCAACACCCTCTTCTGACCTCAGGCACCAGGCACACACATGGTACACATATATATCACATGCAGACACAACATTGATACTCATAAATCCTTTAAAAATGCACAATGTAGCTGGATGGTGGTGGCACACGCCTTTAATTCCAGCACTCAGGAGGCAGATCAAGTCTTTGTTGAGCCTTGCCTAGGCAGCTGAATGTTTGTGTTGTCTGCTTTGATAATTGACGGTGTCCACTGTAAAGCCTTGAAGTTCAGATTGGTTGTCCATGCAGCTTGCTCCATGGCAAACTCAGGGCCTCGTGGAAGTGGATATTTTCACATGTAATGAAGATGCTGAGGGTGGACCGATGAACTTACAAAAGACTGATACTGGCAGTGAGCTTAGACTTCAGGTTAGTGGTTCCAAACCATCCAGGAAGCTGGAGAGGTGGCTCAGAGGTTAAGAGCATTGGCTGCTCTTCCAGAGAACCCAGTTTTGATTCTCAGTACCCAAAGACTGCTCAAAACTGTCCAAAACTCCAGTTCCAGGGCATCTGGTGCCCTCTTCTGGCCACTGTGTGTACTGCATGTATGTGGCGCACAGATATTCATGTAGGCAAAATGCCCACGCACATAAAATATAGTATTAAAAAAAAAAGAATTACTAACTTTGCATATGGGATACATTTATTAGACACCATTAATGCACCACATTAAGATCCATGGACATGGAGCTGAAGAGATGACTCATTGGTTAAGAATACTTGATGCCAGGGCTGGAGAGATGGCTCAGCGGTTAAGAGCAGTGACTGCTCTTCCAGAGGTCCTGAGTTCAATTCCTGGCAACCACATGGTGGCTCACAACCACCTTGAATGAGATCTGGTGCCCTCCGCTGACATGCAGGCAGAAGACTGTATAAACAATAAATAAATAAAAATATTTTTAAAAAAGAATACTTGATGCCCTTGCAGAGGGCCTAGCACCCATATGGTAGCTCACAACCACTGATATCCAGGGCCTCCAACATCCTCTTCTGACCTCTGCAAGCATCACGCATGCATAGGGTGCACAAATACATATGCAGGCAAAACACTCATACACACACATTCTTAACCGCTGAGCCATCTCTCCAGCCCTACACACACATTCTTAAAAAGCTTTTATAAGTATCTGTGGACATGCTAAGCATCATTACGAATGCCTTTAATTCCAACAACCAGGCACCAGAGGCAACAGGTCTCTCTGAGTTCCAGACCAGCCTGGCCTACATCGTGAGTTCCAGGTCAGCCAGGGCTATCCAGTGATATATGTATTAGTCAGGGTTCTCTAGAATTGCAGAACTTATGGAATGAATCTCTCTGTATATACATGCATATGAACTTATTGGAATGACTTACAGGCTGCAGTCCAACAATGGCTAGTTGTGAATGGAAAGTCCAAGAATTTAGTAGTTGCTCAGTCCCACATAGCTGACAGTATCAGCTGGTCTTCTATAGATGCTGGGATCCCAAAGGAGTAGGCTCCAGTTGTAGGGAAAAGGGACCAGTCAAAGAAACACACCCTGAGCAGAGCCAAAGAAACACACTTTGGCCCTGCAACCACAACCAAAGAAATGTACCCTGACCCTAAAACCAGTGCCAAAGGAACACACTTTGTCCCTGGAATCTGAGTCAGTGAAAGAAATGTACCCTGGCCCTAAAATTGGAGGCAAAAGGCTAAAAAGGACCAGAGAAAGAAACACACTTTGGCCCTGAAACCAGAGCCAAATCTGACCCTAATCCTGTGTAAAAAAGTAACCAATCCCGGAGCAGAGCTCTAGCCAATCTGAGCTCAGCACTGAAATCGGACCAATCCCTACCCTGGAAAAACTTCCCCAACCCCAGGAACCCCTATATAAACCCTGTGTATGTTCAGCTTGGCTGGTCCAGCTGTCTTCCAATAAACCCCTTTGGATGAGCTTCGGGTGAAGATCTTCTTTTGCGGCTGCGACAGAGCAAAGGCGACCCTGGGCAGAGCAGAGCAGAGCAGAGCAGAGCAGAGCAGAGCAGAGCAGAGCAGAGCGAGCAGCGCTGTAACACTTGCCCGGGAAACCTTCCTTGGCAGAGCGGAGTTGTTACACTCTGCTCCCGCCCGGCTCCCTGCTCTCCGCTCGGCTCTCCAGGAGCAGAGCTGAACTGTAGCAACTTCGCCCGAGAAACCTCCTGCGGAGCAAAACTGCTACACTAGGCGAACATCCCCAGCTGGAAGACCCTGTCCTGCCGGAGTGGAGCTGACACAAAGGAGAAGCCTTTCTCTGAGGCAAGGCTGTAAGCTGCTAAGCTTACTGCAACCTGTGGTGGTCCTTGGCTCCCGAGCTCCAGGATACCTTTCTACCTGAGCTGTGTAACACTCAGTATCCTTGGCTCCCGAGCTCCAGGATACCTTTCCACCTGAGCTGTGTAACACTGGGTATTCGGTGACTCCCGAGTGCCAGAATACCTGACCCACTCCTGTTCCATCCTGTCCTGACCCATCCCGACGAAACGCTTACACCAGTGCCAGTGAAGAGTGGATGTGCTGACAAGGGCAAGCAGGCTAAGAACAAACTCCCTTCTTCCATTGTCTTACACATGCTTCCAGCAGAAGGTGTGGCCCAGGGTAAAGGTGTGCCTCCCAGCCTCAGGATCTGGATTACAGGTGTGCCCTGCACTTCTGGATTGTAGTTCATTCTAGATATAGTCAAGCTGAAAACCAAGAACAGCCATCACAGCCTTTCATTATCAGTAGACATGGTAAGGAGATGGTCATGTATAAAAGTGCCCTTGACAGCTAATGGCTGCTGGGGGGGTGTCTATGCCTTATTGTACAGTCACAGGCAATGGCTTTTAATTAAATCCCACCTTTGCTCAGGCAAGCAACACTAATTAAATTCAGTGGGGCACAGAATTAGACATGAAAGCAGAAGAAGGTTTTGTTGGTGAGAAGAGGGGTTCAGCAAATTGAAAGAGGGACATGAGGGCAATATGATCAAAGTGTATTATATGTATGTATGTGTGAAATTGCAAAGTAAGTTTTTAAAAATGCCCCCCAAAGAAAATGTCATTGATACAGGATTACATCTTTAGGGTCTGCAGTGGTTTGAATGATAATTGTCACATCTATTTAAATACTTTGTTTCCAGTTGGTGGCACTGTTTGGGGAGGTCTAGAAGGTGTGGCCTTAGTGGAGGAAGTAGGTCTCTGGGGTTTCAAAGCCTCCTGCCATTCCCAGTGCCTGCCTGCTTCTCTCTCTCTCTCTCTCTCTCTCTCTCTCTCTCTCTCTCTCTCCATCTCCATCTCTCTCATCCCCTCTCTCTTTCCCTCCCCCTCTCTCCTGCATGATTGGGATTCTGGATGTGAGGTCTCAGCAACTTCTTCCAGCAACCATGCCTGCCACAGTGGACCCTTTATCCCTTTAGAACCATAAGCACAAAACAAACTCTTGCTTCTCTAAGTTGCTCCTTGTCGTGGTGTTTTATCCCATCAACAGAACAGGCACTAATACACGATGGGGAAGTCCTGTGTATATGTCAATAAAGCACTGTTGGCCAATAGGGATGCAAGATAGTTGGGACTAGGAATCCAGGAGGACTCTGGGTAGGAGAAACACAGAGAGTCATCATGTAGCCCACCAGAGAAGTAAGATGTCCATCCGGTAAGAGAAATTCTTAAATGGGTTAAATACTTAAGTCAAAGATAGCCAGTAAGAAGCAAGCAAACAGCCAACAGCTTCATAATTAATACAGCGTCCTGTGTGTTCATTTGGGGACTACAACGTGGCAGAGCCCAGGCAACTGGTGGGGAAAACCCAAAGCGGCTGACGAGGAAAAGGCTTCTCTCTACAAATACAGGATATAATATTGTTTGATATCTTCAAGCAATTCAGCCATGTGTTTATGCGTGTGTATGT